GTGGAACGCATGTAGTACGCCTATCGTGAATTCGCAGCTGAGCGCATACGGGTGCCCTAATGGGTGCCCGTGGCACGACGAAATTCATCCAAAAAAATTGTATAATAGCGACCCACGACAAGAGACAGGTAAGGAGCGTATAAATGCTCCCGTATCGTGGAAAGATTCGATTCGGCGATAGGAGCGAGACGTTCTTTTTCTCCCGTCTTTCTCGCCGCTCCGCGAGAACGGGCGCGCTCTCCGAGGCCAATTTAAATCAATTTAATCCACCACCCCCTGCTTAAACGAGGCTCAATTGGCGCACAATGAGAGGCCGGGGGTCCTTTCGAAGGGAAACCAACACGCGGCACTTAAATCTTGAAACTTCCTACGTGGGTCTCCTTGACGCTGTCCAAAACGCAAACTCGAAGGAAATATTCCGGCCAACGTTTGATTTCTCCCATCGGGGAGATGCGATCCGTCGTACGACGACGCCTGGGAGCATCCCTGGTCATTCTCCCCCGGCCGTTCGAAAATCATCGTCGGTTACCGGTCACGCTAGTCGCCAGAGACTCGTATTCCTTTTATCGATAAGAGATAAGGCAGCCGTCGCGCAATTGAATGAACGTGGGAAAACGGAGAGAGACCGGTGGCAAAGGGCGCAGATACCGTGCGAACTGCGGACCTGTTAATGGCAATAACGTAATTAGACGGGATCATTAGGTCATCAGCGAAGACCATTTACCGGAGAATTATCTGCGACACGCACACGCGCATTCCAGCTCGCGAGAATTTTCCCTTCCGTTCGGCACATCCGCGGAGGCTCTCTGGAAATTAATCGGAAACAACGACGAGCGCAATCGAGCCTTCTCCGCCTCCACAACGAAGTCACCCCTTTCGGCGCACGCGGTTTTTCCCGTTTCCAAGCGGGAGACGATTGGCCGGTAAGTATGAAAACGCCTGGCCGCGTGGGTCACGCGGAAGCATATGCCGCGATGCTCTAGGGACACACAGAGGGGTGGCTTTTTTCTCGACCTAAGGGGCGCGTTTTCCGGGGTGACATCGCTTAAACGCTGGGACAATGGATATCAATTTTTTGCGGACGCACTGTGAGGCCTGTAATGCTTTCATGAGCTTCCGTCGACGGGAATCGCTGCACGAGGGTGAAAAAAAGAAATCGAGACGCAAAGTAGGCGAAACGCAATACTCCACGCTGATAGAAAATTATAGTTATTTTCCATCAGTGTAGCAAACACACACGCATATAAGCATTACGGGCGAGCCTCCTCTTGTGATTTAATTTCCCGATGCTTATCGACAGATTAATTCTCGCTAACAAGCGTGGACGTGTCTGCCTGCGCTTCGTAGAACAGCGATTTCAATCGTCCGGCGAATTCGTAACCCCGAACTACGGACTGCCGGCGCGGCCGGAGGATTGACTCGCGCTGAATGGGTTATGGAGTTTACATCAGATCGGATCTCGGCTCCCAGAAGGCAGCATCGCTTTGAAAAACCGGAAACAGCCGGCACGAGCCCGGGAGACGCGAGCGGGTTACCAACGTTCTCATCATCATCTGGCTTTCAACCAGGTAAGAGTCGCTGAAAAGGGCTACGTCGGAAATGTAAATGAAATTGCGTCGAGGAGACGCGCGAGCTTCGAAGATCGTATCTCAAAACGCGACCGGGAGGACAAAAACTGGTGGTGGAAAAAACTACACTGTTTCGAATTACGGTAACCATTGGTAACGCAACGAGGTAACGGTTCAAGCTACGTACGAACGCGAGCAAATCAGCGGTCGTTAAATGAACATTGTGTTCGAGGACATGCGTATGCGATTGACAGGTGACGGAATAACTTAAAAGACCGACGAGAGAGAGAGAGAGAAGGGGAACGAGTCTCCTCCTACACATTGGTGGGCCGAGGCACGCGACTAGCATTGTATGCAAATGGCGAGGCAGATGCGCGGATAAGCCCGAAAATTTGTCCTTCCTGTGCCTTGCGACACGCAACCACTTCGCAACCGCTCGCACGGAATCAATTAATCTCTCGTCGGATGTGAAAATCGACCGGAGAAACGGGAATGAAAGAAGTAATCTTAATGTGGAAATTTAACGCGGGGCGACGAAACGGATCGCCAGGGGAAGCTCGTAAAAAATCTTAACGGGCGCGAACTCCTTTTTTTCGCAATAATTCGCAATAATTGTCTCGGGGACAGTGAAAAGAGGAAGTGAGAAGGAGTGACGAAGGGAAAGGGAGGAGGGGTAGCGGTCGCTGGCACCGCGCGCGATCTCGCGGCGCGTTTATTATGTAGGAACGGCGGAAAGCACGACGTCGCGCCCGGGGAGATAGTGTCATGTACAGGAACGTACTCGCCGGTACACACGCTCGTACCTGTGTGCAAGTAACCAGAGTGTACTGTCACGGAGGCGTACAATAGGCCAGTTTCGGGGACAATAGCGGAGGCCGACAATCAAATCAGCTCACTATCAGCCGCCCCAACCCATCAACGTTTATCCTTTGATCCGCTCAGTCGTTCGCTCGCTCGCTCACTCGCTCTCTCGCTCTCTCGCTCGCGGGGCAGCAAACACTCCTGATTGCACACCCTCTGTGTTTAAACAGCCTCGAACTGTGTCTCTCTCTCCACCGACCCTGCCCTCCGACGCCCTTCTGTCCCCCCTGCCCGATATCCCGCTCCTTCTGTGTTTAAAGGCTCCACAGAGAATGCGGGGGATGAGGAAGAGAGAGAGAGAGAGAGAGAGAAACGTCATCCGGTATAAAACGCGCCATGTCCTAGCGACATTCCGCCTCTCGGTATTTGATCTTCCTTAAAATGTTACGCGATGTGTCCTGAAATGTGTGAAGTTTCCGTTGTTGAGTATTTTCATAACGAGCGAGATAAATGTACATTTCGCAAGTACGAGGGTAATATCTGCCGTGAGAAGAAAAGAATCGTCGAGAGATGGTTTCCAGAAATTCCTGGAGAATCGTTTCGAGAGACGAAATAATGCACCGAGTTTGAAGTAGTTTCGAGTGCCACGCACCTGTGCGCACGTGGTAGGAAGTAACGATACAGATGTATACACGTGCCGGAGTACGTCAAATCGCACGTGCGAGCAAAGCGCGGATGTAGATTATCAGACCCGATAAAGCTTGTTTTCGAGCGGACTAAAAAGAAATTTAAGTTCGCGAAGCGCGTGAAAAATTTGATCGAACATAAGGTAAAAATCGAGACGAATCGGATCAGTACATGCTTTTGAGATAGTTGTCGTTAGTTTCTCGTTTCAAGCGAGCTGTTTTATCATGCCAGTTACCTCCGCGCGCTTCTCCCGTGCTCGTTTGACACAAAAATCGAACGACAACCGCCTATATTGATCCGATTCACCCTGTGAGCCGTGATTTGCCTCGGAAAAGCTTCTTTTTTATGTTACGTAGCGCATGACAAAAATGTCGAAAGCGATCTGACGCGTTTGTATTGACGCGCGTACGGCAAGCTTGCCGGGAGAAGAGCAAATGGGCAAAGATCGCCGGTCGTCACGTATACAGATATTATAGACAACGTCGAACGAAGGGATGAGTCTAGCCTTCGACAAGTTGCGACGATACAGCCGGCAGTAGACGTCTGTTTCGCGTCCTCTTTCTAGGTTGAGATCGCGACTCCACAATTCCGAGGACGCGTTCACCTCGGCAGATATGTTTGCGTCGTGGGTTCGAGTTCGATCGAAGCGTAACGGGCCGTTGTCTTGGATGCGGGTACCTGGGGTTGGGGGAGGCAAAGGGACAGGGAAGGTAGGAAGTAGGAGGTTCCTGCGAGGGACACCCCCTCACCAGCTGATTACGAACTCGGGTCACCGCCGCGCGATTAATCCATTAACACCCGATTATCTCTCGCGACGTTTCGTAATGCTGAATATTAAGTGGACAGTCGTCCTAATTGAATATTGAAACGTTATTTGACGTAGTTAATCTAATCTCTATAACTGGAAAGTAAATAAATTAAATAATTGTGTTTGTTAGTATAAATAATCAACAAAACTGATTTACCAATATTATTTTCGTTTTTTGTTTTTTTTTTACGTAACTCTGTCGCGGTTAGTCGCGGATTTTCCATCGTTCTAACGATTCTTATTGAAAACTATCGAACTTCCCGCGATTTTTTCTAAACAGATTTATCGACAAATATATTTCTTAAGTGTCCTTTACGTACAGAAGCGTAAAGGAAATATGTAAAAACGAGCTGGTAGAGACACGAAAGAGTAATTTTGACTATTTCGGGCGCAGATCTCGATATATCGGAACACAGAGGCATGAGCGAAGTCTTGAACCACGAGGAGTCTGGGAGAAATCCCATTGTCACAGGGAGGAACCTCCGGTGATCGATTTCTCCGTGGGTTGAGAGGGGTTGCTATCGTCAATTAGGCACCCTCGAAGAGGAAGCAGCCGGCGATTGGTTAGCCACGGCCACTCCCAAAGGCGGTGCCTATCGACACACGGTGGCAACCGCGGTACTCTCGCGATCTGCCAGGCACCAACCGTGCTCCATCCGGCTAGTTTGCACCGTGGTGAAGCTGTTTCAGTTCACGCAGCGACGTCGCGCCGTACGCATCGGCACGCATCGCGCACACCTGTTCGCTGCGAGGCGAACGTCAAAACCAGCCGAGTTCTCGTCGGGGAGAAGCCGGATGCGCCTTTCGGGATTTTCACGAGCGAGCACGTGAGAATTCGATAAATTTCGCGAAAGATCGGAGACGACCGTGACAGACAAAATGACAGACCCCGAGGAAAGCGATCGTTACCCGTGACGACGCCGGCGATCGAAATGTTCGCGGATTTCCGATTTACTCCGAGCAACTGTTCCTAGTTCGTAGTGAAGTGCCAGACCCCTCGTGGTCCGCCGGTGACCGGAAGTTGCGCATTCCGCGGTTGTGATAAATCGCCGGGAGAACGTTCGCAGTAATCGCGGATCGTCCGTCGTGACTGGCTACCGGAGCACCGAGACATCATTTACGAAACAGCGTCGACTATGGTGGTTCTGTAAGTATTTACCGTCCGTACAATTCACCGATCGAGTATATGTTTGTATAAATTGAACGAAGCGAACAATATGTTTCGATGTCAATCTGTATCTGTTCTTTGGAATACTGCAGTTAATGGGTTCGAACTTGAATTTGGAAAATATTTTAAAGAGAGAGAGAGAGATTCACTATTCATATTATATTTAATATTCAAAGCAACTTAAGATGTTTTTCGCTAACTTTGACAGACGAAGATATTTACATTTTCACAGCTTCTAGCATAAATAAGTTATAAATAATGACGAATAATGATATGCATGATTAATCAATTGATCATAATTAACTTCCGGGACATTCAATATTCAATTAAAACTTCTCACGTTTCGCTTAATCGATATCGATATTTGAAGGAATGCTACTTTCTTAAGTATATTCAAAGTATATTCAAAGCGAACTGTGCCCAATAATTATAATTGAATATAAATAATTATAATTGAAATCATCGTGTATTTCAAACGATTGTTTGGACACCGATTCGATAAACATAGCCATTGAATCAGCTCGCAGAAAACAAAATTCGGCGGTCGATTCGATAGAGACCAAGTGCAAAAAATTGGTAGCTTTTGCACTTGGCATCGATTTCTCTTCTTCCAGGCAACAAGAGATTCAGCTAGTATCTAATCAATGGGCGTTCTGCGGGTCTCCCATTGGTGTGTGGGCGTTATCACGGGCCTGATTGGACGTTGGGTGTTCTAGAAACCCCTCGTTTACACATGCGCGCCTCATCAGGTCATGCACGACCATTCGTACGCGGGAGTCCGCTTCTTCGATACTCGTAAATTTGATCAAAAACGCTCCTCATTTTACCGTTGTAATTCTCTTGCATATTACACTGTAGCGCGCTCTCGATAGACGACAGTCGGGGATAAAGATTCTCACGGAGAAATTTTAGTCGACGGTAGTGGCTGAAGGCTCGACGATGGAATTACGAGCGTATGAAAAGCTGTTCCGAGAAGCGTATAAAATATTTCGAGTCGAGCAATCAAGCGCTCGTCTCATCTACGACTTTAACACGATCGTTACTCGACCCGTGGTCATTGGTGCAACTCCCATCAATGAACGAATTCACAACGCGTAAATTAACTATAACGAAGTGAAATATATCATATCTTCATATATATTTTTAAAAAGTATAAGAAATATTCCCACCTAACTATCGCGTTATATTTTTATTGTTATTGATACATTTTTTTTTTTAATTCGACCGTGTCGCACTGTTGGTGCTCATGCGAGCTAAGAGCAATGCCGAGCAACATCTAAAATAGACTTTCGCAAATCTTTTAATTGATCTATCGGTCGAGAGGTAGAGGGACAGTCGAGGATTCCAGATCGGAAAGGAGAGGCAGCGGTCTCGACGGTTCGTGAAAACCCGATTAAGAATGTACCGCCGCCTCGCCATTGATCACAGCCCAACACCTCGAAGACAGATTAAACGAATGTCCGCGGGTAAGACGATCCCCCTTTATCTCGAATCTCAAGAACGCTCTCTCTCTCCCGCTCTCTACCGCTCCGAGGAACCCTTTGAACCCGCAGCCCCCTCTGCGAGCACCGCTCGTGAATCCTTTTATGTCGCGGCAGCCGAACGGAAGCTGACAGTTTATTCGGTATTAATTCAACGATATTACGCAGGACAAGGCAGAGTGACGTTTCGCACGTTTAATCACTCCCGGGAGAACGACTTCGCGATGTCTCGCGTTTATCGAGACAATGAATGCAGCGACGCGAAATCGACGTTGGCCTGAACGATCGAGACTTTACCGCGACAAACTCGTGAGACATCGGCAACGCGCGGGTTAACGAGCTCGCATGAATCTATCAATGGTACCGTAAGACTGATTATGCGACACTAATTGACGAATGTCGCGTGGCGTCATATAAGGCGACCCACGTGCTTCTCTAAATTTGGCCGGTCAAAGTGATTCTACGCGCGTCCTTCTCCCTCCTCCCCCGGCCGATCTTTCGTCTCCGCGCTCTCAGGATACGTTCCCGGAGCGGCGTGCGGAATTGGCAAAAAGCCGGATTAACAAAAATCCAGCCCGACCGGTTTTCTTTCGTTCTATCGCGTTTCATTGAGCCTCGGTGTGTTTTGCCAAGTTTTTTGCGCCATCTCCCACCTGCTCCATTCTGCTATTCGAGATCACGCGTCGGGACGTTCGCAAGCGGACAGATATCGCGGACGGATATCGACCTAAGTGAAACGACGAACGATCGAAAGTTGGTTCCTAACGTCTGCGGTTTTATCAGCGCATCGGTCGTGACTCGAAACAATCGGACGGACAACGGACGATTTCATTCGGAGCAGTTGTCTTCGAATGGGGTCACGAAATAAGGATCGCGAACGAAAATCCGGAAAGAAACGGTTTCGCGATACACGGCTCGTTAAGATACAGTTCGATACGTTGAAAAATGTGTTTCGTGGATCTATCTAATAATGAACGACCAAACACGTTTTGCTCGAAGGAAGCGGAATTTCTAGCGTCTTTCACGAATCAAGTTCGGTTCTTATGACTAGAAATTCTGTTTCCTTCGATCAAAATATGTTTGGTTGTCCATTGTCAGGTAAATCCAACCAAACTTATTTTTCAGTGTAGGATGCAGTTGAGTATGAACATGTGTCTTGCAATGAGTTCGCCAAAAATACGTTCATTCAGCTCTCATGTCAACAATACGTACATTCTCGAGATCTCCTTTACAATCTTTGCACATCCTCTTGCATTAATTAATGTCTTTAAATCAAGAATAGATATTCTCATATATAAACAATAATATCATGATCTTCTTAGGAGACTTTTAATCTTGATTTGATTGGATTTATATTGATGCGAGTATTACTTGAACTCGATTCAACAATTAAAAATGTAAGAAGATTATAATATTTTTGCTTATATATGAGAATCTTTATTTTTCATTTAAAACTAATCTTTTACGCGTAGTATTTTCAATTTTATCACAGGGAATTATTTTTTACGCGATATATTCCGATGATCATGTGTTCTCCGTCGCCGAGCAATTAATTAGAAACTGTTCTCCTCGTGCGATTAGTTATGCGCGACGAATTTCCATCCACACTCGACTTACGGATCGTGAAATTATGCAAACTAACTGACGAGAACGATTTTGAGACGCGGCCCACATTATCGGTGACAAAATAAATCGTCGGTTCGTCCTGTGCTGATCTTTTATTTCACTGCTATTATTAACAACGCGCGCGCCTTACGGCGCGAGTTCAGGTGCAGTGTTTTTTATATACTTCGAGAGCCTCGTGAATTGAATGGTGGATGTCGCAGAACGGTTTCGAGTTGAATATAAATCGAGCGATCTGACTCGTGTCGATCGCGAGCGAAGATCCGAAAAGATGGTACGACGTGGGTGTCGAGTTCCGCGTGGGCTTATCGCGCGAAGAAAAATAAACGTCGTTAGCGCGACTTGACTTTTCGAGTTGTCAATACACGGATTATTAAATGCCGTCTTTTCTTTCTCAGAAAGATACGACGAGGATAATAGCGAGATTTTAGGAGACCCGAAATTATAACGGGTTTGCAACCAACTTTTCATTGCGTCTCGTAGCAATAATTAGAAATAAAGAAACTTACTTTCCCCGTGGTATAATGAATCATATATTCTTTGAATTGAATTATATAATTTTTTGAACTTTGACGAAAATTGCCTATTCAGCAATTTTTTACAATACAAGTGATTCCGGATGTTCTCATTCTCGTGCGGAGCGTCGCATAATTTGTCTAATGTAATCATGAGTGTAAATTCGTTCGCTGTAAAAATCGGGACGAATATCAGCTAAGATAGGTTCCGGGTAATATAACTATCGGCGTCGTGTTTCCGAATGTCGGCACGGGCAGTAACTCGAATCAAAAGCTCAGGCGCAGGGGATTAACTCGTTTAGAGGCGCGAGATTAACTCCGCGAGCTAATCTCGCGGAAAGATCCGAACGTAGCGCGGCTAGTAACAGAAACGAACACGGACAGCGAGAGGACAGAAACGAGCGGGTGGACGAGGGGAAAGGGAAATGAGAGAGAAATCGGGAGAGAGCTCGAGAGCCGAGAGGAGGAGGACGCGACGGAGAGGGCGAAGCGGAAAGGGACAGAGCGAGAAATTTCTTCCTTTTCACGGTGCGCCCTTCGTGATATTTTAGTGGCCTCGTCGCGCGGCGCGTATCTATCTTAATATCTGAAATTCTGAACGCACCCATACCACCATAGCGCGAGAAAGAGAAACGAAGACGTCCTCCCTCCCTCTTCTTCCCCGTCTTTCTTTCCCTCTTAAACGTTTCCCTCTTTCTCTCACGAATCAACGGAGTTCCACGATGCACGCGTGTGTTCACGCGCGTGTGCGTACGTCTTCGACTCTCCGGACAATCTCGACGCAGCATCGTCCGCCGATGTATCATCTTACTTGGTGCTAAAGGCGATGACTTTATCACCGATCCGGGCAATCATTCACCTAAGCTGGCTCTCTTCTCCGTTGGCGCTGTCCTCGTCTTTCCTCGCGCCTTTTCTCTCTCTCTCTCTCTCTCTTTCTTGTCCTCTCAGCTCGATTCTATCCTCCTCGTTTTCATGGAGAGAGAGAGAGAGAGAGAGAGAGAAGAGGGAGACAGAAAAAGGTGTCGACGTAACGTATAGCAAACGCGCCTCGCGTGCCTGCCTCTCTTCGCTATGCATAACGAACCGTCGAAAAAGAATGGCGGAATTATCACCTCTGGCGTGGAACGCCAGGTAGAAGAGGATACGGCATCCTCCTCGCGGTGGTCATCGATATCGCCGTGCGATATCGCGGCGATGATAATCGATATGCGAGATATACGCGCTCGCGCTACCGAAATTACTCAGGAAATTTATTAATTCAATTCCAACTTCTCGAATTCGTCGGACGGTGATGGGTACGTACGACTTCGGTTTAAGCGAGAACACGATGCCCAAGTGTGATTTTCTGCATTCACCCGACGAAATACGAGGAGAACGTTCGAGCGACGCGTGGCGAAAGAAGTCATCGCGGCAGCGAGACGCCGCGAATGATCGGCATTAAAAATCTGGACGAAATATCGCCAGGCGATAAAGGCTCCTTCGCGTCGAATCCGTGGGACGCAGTTAAACGTGCTTTACGCGATTGCCGGGCATCGCCGTAATCGCCGGCAATTGGAATCGCCGCGGCTCCTCCGACAGTGATCGTGTCAGCGTGAAAGAGGTTCACGAGGTGGTCCGCGCCGTTGAGGACGGGACCTCCGGGCGATGAGGCGTTCTCGAGTAGGTGTTCCAGGATCGTAAATGTCCGGGCGCGACTCGATAAAACCGACGGGAACGATGCGTGCGCGCACCTAACGCGCGTAACGCGTACAAGCGCCGTAGGAGTCGCGCGCGAATCCCTCCGTCGTCCGAATGTCCCGTCGCCGACAAGCACGCGCTCTCAGTCGTGACAAGTAAATCCCGAGCGAGTGAATAAAGGGCCGAGTGTCTGCTTAAATTAGCGGAATCGAGAGAAAGGCCGTTGCCCACCGCGTACTGGCTCTTTCACCGCGCGAGGACGCGATCGGCTGATGATTTCCGCGCGACGTTTCGCGAATCGCGGTGATACCATTTTCACGAGACAACCGGGGGGATTCGCGATCTCGGGAGTCTTAATCCGCGCGAGAATTCGCTCAATCGCTCGGTAATCGCGAGACTCTTCTACCAATTGTGAGGGGGAGTCTGAAAATCCGCCCGCGATGTGATATACGAGGAAGGGTTTAGCTGCACGTTAATTCGGTTAATTCGTCGGCGAGAGATGTCTCTCGCATACCGTAGTGCCGTCACAGACCATAAGCGCGGACTTTAATGTCAACAGCGGAAAGGCAGAAGCCGGTCCGCGAGCTGACGCGAGGAGATACACTTATAGGAGGATTTATGCGCGAGTGTTTCTTGCGCCGACCGCAGCAGCGGGAAAACGTACGCGCGCGCGCGCGCGCTCCGCTCAGACATCAGTCGTATACTCGTTCTTATTAATACGGCGAGGCGTTGCTGGGATGAATTAATCGAACGCCGGCGCTTTCGCACGCTTCGCGTCTGTCATCCCTCGTGGAACGTTGCCGCGTAGCTTGACTTCGTATCCACGAGCGAGAGAAACCGACGTCGGAAAAATATCGCGCGAGTAAAAAATAAAGCAGGAGGGCTCATCTCCATCGAAAGAATTCATTCGAAGCGAAACAAGCCCGGGTCGAGATTTCGCCCCCGTGTCAAACTTTGAATTCTACGGCACAGTAAGAGCTAAGACAACAAATAGGTTCAATTTTTGTGATATAATTTATTCCTACACAGAAAAAGAAATTGTCTTGTATAAATCAATGATAGATATTTTCACATATAAGCAAGAATATTGTAATATTCTTAGAAGATGTTTACGTCTTAAATCACTACAAATCCAATCAAATCAAGATTAGAAATCTTCTAAAAAGATTATAATATTCTTGATTATATGTGAGAATATCTACCATTGATTTAAGACGAATTTTTTTCCCGTATATTTTGACCACGCGATGATGTTTTAAGATCGAGTAGATATTACCAAGTAAAAATTATTGGAGTAATTATTTACTTGAATCTAGAAGCTTCTTTCTGTGTAAAATCGAAGATTCAAGAGAGAAGTTAACAAGTGTGATGTCATCAAAGTGGGTTTTTACTTTGCGGACCATTTAAATAAATGCGAATTATCCATAGGAGCGTGAAAATAGCCTCGAAATTTCAGTTAGGGAAGAGACGCGGCAAATAAAATTCGCCCCCAGCAACCAGCTGTCGATGGAAGTGTAAACGCGCCGATTATTCGCGATTATAATAGATCCGTCCGTCGGGTGCGTCGCGCGCTTAGATTACCGCGCAAATAAGCGTGTGACGCGTCTCGCGGACGCGATGGACCGTCGACAAATCTCGCGAGTAGCTTTATCCCGGCTATCGAAGATCGATCTTCCGCGCCTCGATCGCAATATACGGAACATAAGGATTCCGGAAAGACGCTGAACGTGCTCGGCGTCAGGCCACCCACGGGCTCCCATAAGTATGGCGCGAGGTACAACCGGGCACGTACCATAAATCGGGATTTTATCTCACAGCTGCCGTGCTCGTGGCACGGCCGCAATTGCGTAACACTAAATTAGTCCTCGGATTCGATTCCAACGGGGACAACTCCGCGACTTCAGGGTCTCAAGGTCGGCCCTTCGGCGAAACGCTTCGACTCGCCCGTGTGCGAGCACGGACACACCGATTCGCGCTGATATAAGATTTGCATTGATTAAGGGTTCGGAGAAGTCACGAAGCTTACACCGAAGCGGTAAATCCACTCTCTTTTGCAGGAGTCGCGTGGGGTCGCCGACGATGTCAGCGACTGTCGCCGGCAACCAGCAACAGCAGCATCCTCATCAGGAGTGGGACATAAATGACTCGAACGTTCCGAGAGTAAGTTCCTTCCCGGTGCGCCTCGCGAATCGCGAGATGCGAGGTGTCTCGCGGGAAACGTCGATTTTCGGTTTTTCTTCGCTCCTTCCTCACGCGAGGCGAACGTTTCGCGAGGAATTCGATCGCGTCGCGTCCTTGCCAGCGCCGATCTCGAGGACAGGATTTTGCTTCAGGTAGTGGAATACGATCCCTGGTGCGAATGGGCGGACGGACACGTGAGGAGAGTCTACGGACCGGATTGCGAGGAAGCGAGAAAGCATGCCTCCGGTTGGGCGATGAGGAACACCAACAATCATAACGTGGCGATCCTCAAGAAGAGTTGCCTGGGCGTTCTGGTGTGCTCCCAGGAGTGCATACTACCCGGCGGTGGAAGGGTTCACCTCCGACCGGCGATCTGCGATAAGGTGAGCGAGGCGCATAACGGGACGATAAATATAAATCCCGACCCGATAATAAATGTAAATTGCGCTCGGCGCGATACTCGCGCGCCTGCCCGACATTCTTGCCGCCTGCAATCCGCGACGCGAAATTCCACGTGCGCGAATTGTCGCGTCCACCCGAGTAATGTCGATCAATCCACTCGCCTTAATTCGGGAATCGATAGCCACGCTCGAGTTTACATCTGAATGTCGCGAATACGCGGGATTGTGTGATATTCCTTTCTTAGATTATTATACGTAATCTAAGAACGACCAAAGGCTCTATCGGGCGCCGAAGAATCACTTTTCCTTAGCTCGAGGTAAATCGAATTTCAACCTCCCTCGGATATTTCTTTCCATTTAGACTATTCCACGTAATTAAACATCGATACGTCGGCGATGATGCACCGAACTCAGTGTTCTCGCACCTGAGACGACGTGTTTTGCCCGATTTTGCCCGCAGGCGAGGAAGAAGCAACAGGGTAAACCGTGTCCCAACAGGCAGTGCACCGGTCGCCTCGAGATACTGTCGTGTCGCGGACACTGCGGCTATCCCGTGACGCACTTCTGGCGGCACACAGAGCACGCGATCTTTTTCCAAGCCAAGGGCCAACACGATCATCCACGGCCGGAGGCCAAATCTACGTCGGAGGCGAGAAGGAGCGTGGGTGCCGGCAGAAGGGTCAGAGGACTGGCGGTCCTCTTGACGAGGGAGGCCGCCTTGGGCACTAAAGTAATTCAGAATTTCGCTCATGATAAATAATAACTTCACAATACTCGTGAGAGATTTTGCAAATATCAACCATAATAAACATCTTTAATCTCAAATATCAATCATAATAAAAATCTTTAAGTGTTTCGGCCGGTCGACTGAATAACAATCATCTCGCCTTCGGTCGCTTTTCAATTTGCAACACTCCTACGTACTTATCCTTCGCGAGAAAAGATGGAGTAGCAGGACGTGAATAAAAAGGTGGGATCACGAGTGACCCAAATATATGAATATGCATTCTGTTTGAAGGAAACAAGGAAAGAGCACATCATATGAAATCGTGCGAAGCAACAAGCAGGAATATATTTGTCAAAAATATTATTATAATATTATTAATTAACGTCTCTCTCTTGCTGAGATCATAAATGACCCCTATCTTTTCTTGCGAAGGTTATTGATATCGAAAATATCACAAGACGCATTTTATGATAAACTAAACAATAATAACAAGGTGTAAGGTAAAAAATTCACCGTAACGTAAAGATCCGGCAAATCTGATCTCGTTTCATCTTCGGCTTCACCTCCCGTTTCATTCTTCTGCAACAAATAAAGAAACACGAATTGAACGAACGAATTACAATAAACGAGCGTCTTGTTGTAGTTGATGTCACTGAGAGGAACTAAAAGACCGAGTACGGACGCACTTGAACAGCCGAGAGCAACGCAGCCACCACCGTTGATCTCCGACAAAGGTTAATTTACTTTACATTTTATAATACGTTCGTCAAAAATGCGCCATGTTCTATTTACGAGCACGCGAAACGAATTTGATACATATCGCTCTTCGCTATATCGCAAGATGGCGCCAGCGATCGGTCGCAAAGTCGATCGGAAAAAACATGAAATTTCTTGTCCTTTCCTCAGCACCTCATCGGTAGCTCACGCTAATCTCATCTTTAACCTAACCTTCCGAATTAAACCTTTATTATTAACCTGAATGTCTATTATCGATATATCACAAGAAAAGAAACATCGTCTCTCGTGTTTACTTGAAATCTGATACATCTCTCGACGTGTAATTGCCGTTAATGTGATATTGTAGTAGTTGCTTGACATGCCGTGCATTGTGATATTGTAGTGGTTATTTGATATTTACCAACATCTTTGGTGGGTCAAAAGACTGCGACTCGATGACCGAACCGTTCTAACTCGACAAACACGCGACGTTTCACGCGGCAAAAGAACACGATTAAGACGGAGCGAACGGACGTTCCGCCATTGAATTTTATACTGGAAAGCAGCTCACTGCTTGAGGCCGTGTGCAAAAAGAAAAGAGATAGGTAGCCTCTGCGCGCCATATCTTTCTCTATCTAATGAATCTGAATTGTGATTGGTCAAGAGATTTCTACCACCCTTATTACCAACCTCAGATTTAATGTATTAACAAATTTCATTATAACGCATAGAAATTACTATCCATGTCTTTATATCTGGAGATTGATCATGAGTTTTCTGTTCTCTAACGTAAATATGTGAAAAATGGAAATTTTCCAACTTGAAAGCATTTGAAATGCTCACTTTTCATGAGTTCACATTGGAGGATAAGATTCATAATCGCCTCTCTGTGTCGCTGAATGCAGCTTAATGTTTTTAGCACGAAAAAGATAGGAAGATTGATTTAATTCTCTCTCTCTCTCTCTCTTTTCTTCTATCTGAATGAGCCTCCCGATATAGCATTAATTAGTCTTTACTCGGCGAAACGAACGCTTTGAATTTCGGTAATGATGCATGTTTCTACCATCACGGTCTGAATTTAATTGACGATTAACTCAACGGAGCTGACCAATCGCATTGATCGGTTCAGCTAAAATTGACCAATATGATTGGCCAATTCCATTGAATCAATCGCCGATTGAATTTAAACCATGATAGTTGAAACAGGCGTGAGTGGGAAGAAAACGAAACTAAAGGCTTTTGCACGTAGCGAATTTTTCATCGTAACTATAAATCCGTACAAAAATTGGCCAATTACAGTTGATTATTCTCCTTGCCGTCGAAGAATAGTCGATTATGATCAGTGAATTTTCTTACGGATTTACAGTCACGACTAAAAATGTGTACGTGCAAAGGCCTTACCCCATGAAGACATCAACGTAGAATCGACGTGGAATCCACGTGAGGAAGCCGATCCCACGTCGATTCCACGGATGTCCTCGTGGGGTAACTCTTTTTCTCCATGCTGTTGTTAGGATACTCGTGCTCCTGCCCACCTTTCGAGTGCATGTGCTCGCTGCAGACGAACGTGCCGCCGTATCCGCAGTCCCATCATCACCAGACGACGGTGTACTCTCAACAACTGCCGCCTGCGGATGGACCCTACTGGCTGCAGGACGTACCGCCGCAGGAGAACGTCGCTTATTGCCTGCCGAATCAGATGCCGCAGGAAGCGTCTTACGGCGATTTTCCGCCCTTCGCCAGTGATCTCTTTCAGCCGGAGGAGATCTTCCAGCTGGATCAACCACTGAGGCCGGATTTCCCGGCGAATCCTCAAGACGTGGCTCGTTCGCCGCCGACCTTGCTCGACCTCGGCAGCGGCACCATCAAGTACGAGGTGAAGCAACCGAGTCAAGACCAGGCTTACTGGAATCAATTCCTGAGCGAGGACTCCAGCAGCAGCCACCTGAGCCTGCCTCCTCAGGACGAGAGGCTACAGTTCTCCGGCTTCGAGTCCGAGAAGGACTCCAACGGCCTGCCTTCCAGAAGGACGATGCATCATTACGTCCAGGAGAAGGATCAGAATCAGAGTCACCCTCTGAACGATGCGCTACATTACCAGAGCTACTTCCGGCCGCAGAACCAGAAGGGCTTCGTCGATGGCAACTCGAAGAACGAGCACGAGCAGCAGCCTTACTGGCCGCAGGATCAGCCGGACAATCGACTGCATTTCCCAAACTTCGAGGTGAAAGAGGAGGACCTTCTGCCGTCCCGCAGGGAGGTCGACTGTTACAACAGGATCGGCTGCCAGACTTCCTTGGCCGGTAGAACGGAGTACAATAATCTCTACCAGAGGCCGAAGAGCGAGGATACGCAGGACGCGGTGCGCAGCAGTCGCAGTCCCGAGGACAGGCCGTATCCTTTCGACGGCTATCACCATCAGATGTTCGAACACGGCAACGATAGCAAGAATCAACCGCACGACCGCGTCGTTCACCATCAGAACACCACCAGGATGAACCTGGACGACAGACTGCAGGCTTACGACAGCCACGAGGCCGCGGAGGCCGCGGACAGGCTCTTTCACGGCACGATGGAGACGACGGTTCAGTCGCAGAACAGTCCGGAGCCCTTCTTCTACCCGAACAACGAGCGCTGCCACTACACCTGCGAGATCCTGGACCGTCTGCCGCAGATGATGGGCAACGTTCCAGGGGCGAGCGCTCACGGGACGAACGTCAACAATTACGGGGAGCAGGTAGCCGCCGACCTGGACTTGCCGCCCTTTGTCGATTACACGCTAGTCGGGATGCTGTGCAGTTCCACGGACGAGGAGACAGCGTCGAGCCTGCTGCCGGCGGGATGCCCGCAGGACTCGCACAGCTACGTTCCTCATCATTAGAATACACTTCCACACCGTCGCTACACTCTACTCATTTGTATCATATCATATAAATAAATATAAGATAGTTGCACTCCGTCTCCGAGAGAGTCGACCGGTTCTCTCGTTCATTCTTGTCCGTTGTATCCACTCCTCTTAATCCGCCTGTCGGGACGCGCTACCTGCAAATAAAAGATTGCTTTAGATTTCTCATATAATGCCACGAATGTGTTTAAATTGCAAATAAATCTGTGTGCATTAAAAAACACGTTAGACACGACAATCAAATGATTATCTTTCTTGTTCACGAAAAATGGGAAAAGTTCAATGATCCGTAGTAAACTCCAAGCTTCAAAATATTTCTGGAACCATATTTCGCTGTCTTTACTTTCACTTAAATTACAGCCCATTGAATTTTGCCTATTATTTCATTCAACGGAAAGCGATCAACCATCTGTTGAGTTATATTACTTGAGAAATAGAAGAGTCTGAGACGCGCGTCAAGTTATACTACAACCTCAATTGCTCGGTGAATGCAGTGGCGACTTGTAGCGGACACTTTAGAATTAATAAAAATAACAGATGTAACAGTTGTAAAGTATTGTAAAAGTGACTTATGAAATACGTGGCGCCATCCATTGGTGTCGAGCGGAAACTTGTTTGCCAGTAGGGTTTGAATTTGGTTTGAGTCTCGGCTGAATACGGTGCGAATCCCGAATAATGACGTATTTTACTTCCGAAGTTCCCGCTACGAGCCGCCACCGACATGCTTCTCCAATTCCTTAAGTAGTATGACTCAACGAGTGATCAGCCGCGCGTGTCTCTTATATCGAAGCATAGGTAAAATTCAACGTCGTACATTGATTCGTTCATCTTGTTCGTAAGCAATTAAAGCTGAAATGACGGTTTTTGTTTTAATGTTAAATAACTTCGAGAAAAAAATTCGTATCGCAATCTGTTAATATGCAAATTAAAGCGAAAAATCTACATTTCTAAACCATGTATATTTTATTTATATATAATTTCTTCCACACGCGGTATAACACGAAAACTTCTTAAAATATTTTGCCAATTAACAGATATTAGTTTACGTTTATGTAATATTATAAAAATAAGAGCAATCTTTATATTTATATATTAATATATCTGAAAACTAAACTTCGAATTGTAAAACGCTTCTTGAATCTAACTTTTACAAAGCTTACAGTCTTTCAAATTTTGTCTATTTTTCATAATTGAGATGAGCAAATCTTTAACTTTAGTTTATAGCGTAAACTGTATCTAACATGACTACATTTAGAAATTATGAGATTTTTCTTATATTCCCCGGACATATTTTTCGATTGAGCGGAAATTTCAAGAATAGTTGGGATAAAAGAACACAGTCTCACTCCATGTAGCTGGAAAAAGGTCACATGGTTTATTTGTAATTGATTTATTCGTAACAGATACTCTCACGATCACAATTGTTATGTATATGTTATGCAATATTATTATTATATTATTTTATCATTATGTACATATGCATTACACTTTCTCGATTACACGTGTGCATTATCTTCCTTAACTGTATCTTTTTACGAGTTTCTTTTTTTTATTACTTACGAGTGCGTTCGCGTGCGCTCGTAATAGGACGCACGTACGGAACGGATGCGAAGCTCGTCCGCGCGATCGCAGGCTGGTCAGGATGAAGAACCTGAATGATAATGCGACATCGGGTGAGGGTGTCACCGGGATGATAAGAGAGCGCGCGCGCGCGCACTTATGGGATTTCAATTCTATTCCCTTCGGCGTCGTATCGATTTACTTGCGCGCGAAGGAGAGGATGGTTCTGGAGTCGGAAAACGCGATCAACTGTCGAGCTCATACGTGTAGATTCGCGTTATTTCGCGATTATCGCGCGACCCTTAAAGCGGGATCGCGAACACACGGTATCGTTGCTTCCTTGATCGACACGGCTGACCACGCGCCGTTCTCTCGATTATAAAACACAAGCATCGTCTAACTTGATCGCGCGACACGCATCGTTCGTGCCTTTCTTCTTTTCTTTTTCGTCTCTTTTAATCTAATTTATTTAATCTAATTCGATAGTAGAAATGAATCTCCGTCGAGTCGCTGATCGATTTAAAATCAATCGGGGGATACCGCGGACCATCTCGATCTCGACCACACGTTATCCGTATAATTCGCCTCCGAAGCCAATAGCGCCTACGTATTACAGACTAACTTTAATCGCAAAACACTGATCTTACGAATTTAGTTTATTCAAGAGAGATCTATATCGTAGCCGAATACAAATCGAAGCTCCAATTCTTCCCCTCTCTCTCTCTCTCTCTCTCTCTCTCTCTCTCTCTCTCTTTCTTTCTATCTATCTCTTCTTTTTACAAGCGTACGAGAAAAGCTCGCTAAGTTTTAAGGATCGCTACAAGGGTAAAAACGCGACGTTACAACTCACGTTAATCTAAAAAGTTCGTACTTGAAAAAAGTCGCCAATGCTGGTCCATTTTGTTGGAAAACTTCTCCACTCTCTCTCTTTTTTGTCTCTTTTAATTTACCTTACGTAATTAGCTCCTGCATGGGGTAAAGGTTTAACAACGGTACGAAATTACAGGACACTCACGCGCGATTGTCCTTAATCGTCCTTAATGCGGGGAGCGCCGTTCCAACGAGTATTTCCAGCCGAGAGCAAGATCGATATTGCCTCCCCTCCCTCCCCCCTCGATCGGGCACACGAGCGTTCTAGTGTGTGTTGTGTGTTTGTGTGTGTGTGTGTGTGTGTGTGTGTGAGTAATACACTTATACGATACACAGGCACATTGCTTTGATATTCAGGTTCTCACGATTCATCGAAACCAAAATAACGCTATTACACAGCGTGTCTATCGAAGTCGATTGATAATAACTCAGCGAAGCTTATTACAGCCCGACTAAACGATCTAATCGCAATTACGTACGCGCAAATCTTCCCTCGCCTCTCTCATCGACATATAACAAACATCTCGAGAGCAACAAGACAGTTTCGTTAAAGTATCATCTAGAGGACGAAAAATTGGAGTTGGTTAATCACGAGCTTGTTCGCTTCGTTTGCTTGCTTCAAAGCACCGGCCCCGCTTTCTTTGTCCAAGGTGGCGCGAAAGGATTACACGGTAGTTGCACGTGTTAGATAGGTAAGACTCTCTCGGGGTTCTCGGCGAGGGTGCAGCAGGCTGCAACGTCGAGTGACCGCCCGTCGACGTCGCAGTGGAAACCTCCCCCCGCCGGTTCTCCCGCGAGCCGGGTGCAAATTAATTATTATATCACGTTATCGCATGCGGACACATCTATATACAACACACGTAGTGTGACAAACCCCTCGACTATCTTCCTCTCTTTCTTCCGCTGCGGACTGCGTTGCGACACGAGTATCGGTTACACAGCTCGAGCGCAGCCTGAAGTTTACTCCGACCTCAGCCGACAATAGCTAAGACTCGACTTCCGCGAGTGAAACAATGAAGAGACGCGAATCGTACGCGTGGCGCACACGTTCCGCTCTCATCGTCGTCGTTTCGCGCCGGGGAGGGGGAGGGGGGGGGGGATCGATAAGAGGATCTCCTATTTGTGTCCGGACGTGCGCGATGAAGAGGGTCATTGGCTCTCGCGAACTTATAAACCTCGTCTAGAGAAGAGAGCGCGTTGGGGGTGCGCGACATTGAGTGAAGTTTATCGAGGGGGAAGAAAAGGAAAAGAAAACAGAGAGACATTGCCGCTTCGAAGCAACACGATATCCGGGAGGGAGGGGGGGNGAGGGAGGGGGGGGGGATTTTCCGGCGCGTCGAGTTGTCCCCTTCCGGGCGATCAACAACATGCTATCAAGCTACAACGGGAAGTTCGGCCTGGCAGGAAAAGCGCGGGTGCGCGCGTGAACTGAGCACGGAAGTCGGAGATCGATTCTACGACGATGACTCGGACTTGCGAGACCGAGTTGCGATCTCGCGTCATCGCGGTGGCAGTAAAACGCGTTGCTCGTATTGTCGTCGTTTTTCATCTGGGACGCGGCCGGTCGTGTCACCTCGGCGTAGAGAGGAGCTCGCGCTCGCCTCGCTGCGCGATTTCGCGCACTGAGAAAAGGATTTGGCACTAAGTATGAAAATTTAGCTAAGTATATTTGCCGGCGAATATTTGACCGCTGCAACAAAATAATTTTGTCCCGTAAATAATACACTGTGTATAATATAATATACTGAGGAAAAGTACTTGGAAATTTATTCGTGGGGGATATAAGGTTTATTTCGTTACGGCAAATATTCATCAAATTTTTTCACACTTCTTAACAGATCCTTTTTTTTTTCCAGTGTGCGAACGGGCGAACGACGAATTCGCCGGCGACGGTGAGGGAAGAAACGGTGCTTCCGCGGGAGAAAGAAAATCATCTCGTCCGTCTGTCCGTCCGTCCGTCGGTCTTCGGGGATGCGTAATCGAGAATCCATCGTCCTGCGCGCGTGCGTGCATGCATGCATGCGTTCAAGTCGAAGACAAAAGGGGGTAATTATTATATGCGGCTATCTATTATCGCGAATACGCTCACAGGCGGACGCGTCGCGATTACACCTCGAGAGAGGCTCGAGGCAGCTTAACAGCCTACCGAACGATTTATCTTACGTATCAGCATCATATTTCGCGAACCTGTCTGTTATCGAGGTTCAAGGTTTCTGCACCAATTCGAAATCGTCGGGCGGCCGAACGACGCCTCGCCGCCCTTCGTGCCTCCGCAGGATCAGACTCCCGCTTTTTATTTCTTTCCATTTTCTCTCTCTCTCTCGGGATGCAAGAAAGAAGATACCGCGCGCACCTCCCGGTGGAACACGAAGAAGGGCGCGAGCCGTCGCGCGACACCGCTGGGAATTAAGTTTAATTAACGATTAAGTAGAAGTGAAAACGTCGAAGCTAACGATCACAGCTATTGTACTGTACTATGAGTGTTTAACGTGTCGCGAGAAACAATAGGTAGATAGTGATGCTTAGTGATAGCCACACGTCAATGCTGCAACTGAAGGAGCTCACGACAGAGCGACGCTCCACATGCCGCCCGCATTGCGTACGCGCCGTTGTGCACACCGGCGGCATGAGCATGTACCGGTCAAACGATAGAAAAGGGTATAATATATACATACATATATATATATTTTATATATATGTATATATGTATATATATATATATGTATGTATATATATATATTTGTATATATATATATATATGTATGTGTTTAGGTGTACACGTATATTTATAAAATTCGTTCTACGCGCGGAGGTACGCCTCACGTCGATTCTCCCACTGGGCATCGCTTAAACTAACGCTCGAAAGTCGCGTAAAAGAAGTAAAGGAAAGATTGAAGAGGTGTACACTCCGCAACCTACGTTCCTTCCATATCTCGGAACGACACACACATACACATCGACTTACGCTTACGCGCCTATCTCTCGAGCTCGTTACTACGAAGAGACAGCGGTCGAAAGGAGAAATAAAGAAACGAAAGTGTTCGTCCGCTGGGAAACTAAAAAGAAACAAGAAAGAAAGGAGCGAGGGGGCGATTCGCGACGAAGATTATTAACACGCGAGGCATCATCGAGAGAATCGCGTCGGGAGTAATCGCGCGATCTCTTCGTATAAATAGAGAATCTAATGTCTACTAGGTATGCCTTGCTGCAAAATTGCACAACACCGTTGTGAGACAGTTTCTTTCTCCTTCTTTTTTCCCCCTCCACTTAAAAAAATCTTAGCCCCGTCTTAGGACCTATGAGATTTTCGTACGCAGATATTGCACGCTTCGTGCAACGGTATGTATGTGTATATACACGCACAGAGAGATGCGCGTGTATATTATTATTCAATTGCGATTGTATATGTATGCATATCACATACAAATCGCACATACCCCGGAGGCTTCAGTAAAACGCTTACATTTACCAGGTCAACGATTGCTAATGATTTGTATTTCTAATAAATGTGTTACGCTCTTCTCGAAACTCACCCGGTGGTTCTACGCAATATGTCGATTTTGTAAAACTTACAACTACACTCTTGTGTCTCATATAAGTGCAAAGGTAATCGTCGGGATGCGGGGAGAAGAAAATGTATGTTGCGTCTCAAAGGACACGTGGTCTTCGTCTCTCCGCATCGCGTGCCTACAAGTGTTGAAATGAAACCCAGACATACGCATACATTCTCTCTCTCTCTCTCTCTCTCTCACTCTCTCTCTTTTTTTTTTTTTCATACGCAGCACACATACAATAGTCAACTTGTCGAATCATCGGATGAGAGGAATCGTCTACGACGATTCCTCACGTTCCTTCTGTTTTCATATCTCACGTTTGTGGAAAACAAAAAAAGGGAAAGTCGAAGAGTACAAATGTCGTTACGCTTCACAGCTAACCACAGCATTCGGCAAATATGTTTCACACTCGTTTAAAAATTACTTATATCACAATGAAACGCCGGCGCATCCTTCCGTCTCATTTCCATATTACCCAACTTGCGCATACCTCTTTTCCGTCGAGCGTCATCCTAAAATTCATCGACATCAAGGATGCGTCTAGAGGCTCTGGCAGGTTTTGGCCTAGATCCGAGGTTTCCGGATGGTCGCGGAGACGTAATTTCGGGATTTGCATTCCAGGTCGCCGGTCCGCTGGACGGCCCTCCGACGCAAACCCTCGATCACAGCGCTTGTACTAGGCAAGAATCAAGGGATTCTCGACGCTTATAGTCGGAACGTAAAATTACGGTAGCTGACTCTTCGCCAACGAGCCCGTGTCGTCGGCCACCGGCTTCACGCGCACTCGGTAGAACTTCGTGCCGAGCGGAACGTGATACCGATTCTCCCTCTGAAAATAGAAGAGATCGACGGGAAAATGCATTAGTTTCGCGTTCATACCGCGATATCTCATTGTTACCGTATCGCGAGTGCGACTCGACGCTCGTGACACGGCACCGTCGCGGCTCACCAGCCTCACCTTCCTCGCGTGACAGTACTCCTTATCGATCACCTCGGCGAGGACGCACTTCCGTGAGCCGTTCGAATTCATCCTCACGTCCAACGTGTCCACATAGTCCGAATGGAGGAAATAAAGGGTCGAGGATTCCTGGTACACCGCGTAGTTGCCGTGCGCGGGATCCCAGAACACGAGCACGACGTCGCCCGGATTGCAACTGGTGACGGTGACGACACCGAGCTGGGCGATCTTCGCCATGCCCTCCTCGATCTTCTTGCGCATCTGCGACGAGTGGAAGCACGATTTCGAAGATGACCGTCTGCTCGGCTCCGGGCTGGTGGCCGCGTCTCGGCTCGAGCCCGAACTCGATTCCGAGACGACCGCGACCGACGCGTTCATCTCCTTATCGCGGCTCTCCGACGGCAAGGCTTCGACGCCGAAGATCCTCTTGGTGCGCTCCTTCACCAGCTCGATCTCCAGACGCACCTTGTCCGTCATCAACGACTCCATCTTCGCCTCCGCCGCCATTTTACTCTGATGTATCGTCACCAATTCCGCGGACAGCCTCTTGTTGTCGTTCTCGAGGATCTCGAGACGCCTGGATAGCCGCACGAGTTCGTCGTCGTCGGCCTCCAATCGCACCTTCTTCGACTCCGAGACCTCGACTTCGTACTTATCGCTCTCCGCGCCCTTGAGCACTTCCTCCAGCTCGCTTTGGCTGCTGTCCAATCGCTCGTAGTTGTAATCCTTGTGTACCACCGCGGGCTCCGAGTAGGCGACGCTGTCGCTCTGTTCGAGCATCGCTCGCATCTTCTTCTCCGCGGCAATTTTGTTCTCCAGCCACACTTTGTCCGCCTCGAGATTCTCCACCTACGGCAGGAACGAAAGTTAGAACGCACGACAGCCGACTGGAGACGCAGGTCACGCTTTAAACGCACGGACACCGTTACCTTCTCGTTCATCAACGTTTGCCGCTGCACGCTCTCCGACTTGGTCAGTCGTCGTATCGTGTTCTTATAACGCTGACATTCCTCGGCTAACGCGGCCTCTCTCCTCCTGCACATCTTCAGCTCTCTGTCCTTCTCCTCGACCATTTGGGTCGCCACTCTCAACTCGTTGTCCAACTTCGTCATGCAGTCCGCCCTCTCCTTCTCGATGGCGGTGCGAAGCGCCGCGGCGTTCTCCAGTTTCATGTCTTCCTTCGCCTGCGCCAAGATCGCCTCGTGATTCGCCAGCTCGATTACATCCGTCCGCTGAAACAGATCCCCGGAGTTAACCTTCCCGGTGTCTCCCCTCAATGTTTGATACACCACGCTGCCAAGCGGCAACAGTGGCTGTTTCCTGGAGGAAGATCTGACAAAAAGCGGCCGCTTACCTCGATCTTCTCCAGGCTGCAATCGCTGGGACTCCTTTCCATGGTGGAGGCGGCCATGAGCTTGAAGCGACCTCGGAGCGTTTCCAACTCCGTCTTGTACTCCAACTGGAACTTGTCGGTCGCCTCCTTCACCATTCTCTCCTGGTCGCTGTGAGCGGTGGCCAGATCCTCCTCGAGTTCCTCGATTCGCTTCTGACACTGCGTCAAGGAATTCGTCAACGAGGCGATCTCGAGGAATCTATCGTCGGTCACCTTCTTCACGGCCTCCTCCTTCTCGATGCGCGCCTGCTCCAGCTCGTTCTCGAGCCGCTGGTGCAGACGGGTCTGCAGGTTCCCCAGCTCGATCTGCTCGTCCTCCAGCTTCTGACGCATCGTGGCCGCCAGTCGCTCGTGCTCCGCCAATTCCGTCTCCTTCTCCATGAGATTGCGCTTGATCGTGTCGATCTCCTCCTCGCGATTCTGCATCACCTTCTTGATCTCCGCCAGCTCGAGCTCGTGATCGACCATCAGCTCCTGCTCGCGCTCCTGCAGACGCCGGTCGCATTCCCGCGAGTACAAGGACAATGCCACCCGGACCCGCTCCGTCATCTCGGCGAGGTTGCTCTTGTCCTCGTCGGACTGTTCGCGCAGGATCGTCAGCTCATGCCGAACGGAGCTCAACGCCTCGGACATGACCGCCTTCATCGTCTTCAAAATGGATCGCAATCTCTCCACTTCCTCACGCGTGTTACCGAGGTTCTCCTGAAACGCCCAAAGCGCCAAAAACGTTCCCATGAGCGATCTCGAAATCACATTTCGTGGTACGAATTGTCCTCGATCTCGATCCAGAGAGAGAGACAGTCGAGGAGAATTCGTACGGGGGATGTTAGAGAATCGCCTCAGCTTCTTTCGTAAGTTTTATGTCAGAGACCCACGAACACCCGGATTTCGCGCGATGCGCGCAAAATCTCGACGACCGTTTCCTTCTTTCTTTGTTAGTTTCGTTATTCTCTCATGGTTCATTTAGCACGGATGTCTTTGTGAAAGCGATCGTGTTGGCTGAGTTCAATGGGTCCTGAAGGGACACGTGTGTGGGTTGGAGGATTGGGGGGAAACGAGTGCGACGGCAGCTATCCTGTAAAAATTAAGATGCATATACACACACACGCGCGCCACGCGCGCGCTCGTTCAGGGCGCACGTGTGCCTTTCTATCGCTGGATGCTAATAATGTAATTATGCAAGCGATACGAAAAGTCAGGGCTGCACACAGACTCGATTAGTCGGTAACACAAAACAAGCGACGGATACATACCCATGTTTCACGGGGACTAGTTGCGTACAGTCAGCGCTAAATATGCTCGGTTATAGATACAAATGACAACGATACAACGAAAGTACCTAGAAACTATATAAACAAAAGAAGCGAATGAGCTACAGACGGAATGGAACGACGGATCACACGAACGGAGTACCGAGCGACTCTTTCGACGTCTACCTTGGCGCGAGACAGCAGACAGGATGAGGTGTAGAGACGGGAGAGAGAGAAAGAGAGAGACCGAAGAAAAGAGTAATATCACGTCGTATATCGTTTAGAGGAGGAATGATCTGAGAGCGCAGAGATATCGGTGACGAAAGATATGCGGTAGTGGACACGTTTACGGCTACGACTACGAGAGGTCTTGTTAGCGAGCTGTAAATCGTCCAAGTACCTGAAGGAGGGACACGATAGCCTGATGTTGCCCGTCGACGGGATGCTCGCTGAGGCTGCTCGGCAGGGATTCGTCCATGTAAAACTCGGTACCCATGAAGTCGGTGGCGCCCACGCCGACCGAGGGACTGCTACCGCCGCTGCCGGACAGCGGATGCTGCAGCTGCTGACCGTCGCACATCACAGAGGACCGTGGCAGGGAAGGGGGATTCGGGCTGAGGGAATTCGTCTCCTCGAGCGGCAGGCCGTCGCGATATTTCGATAGGCCACTGCTCACGTCATGGTGAAGCAAGCAGCCGGCGGAGTCGACGGCGCCGTTCTCCACACACTCGGTCAGCGGGCTCAGCTGCGCCGGACGCTCGCTCGCGACGGACAGGCTGGGGAATTGGAAGGAGCCGGGTTCGCTTGACGTGGACGAACGCGTCGTCGTTAGATCCGCGACTTTCGAGTTTAGCGGGGAGACGTTAGTCGAGGTTGAGGAAGCGGGGGACACGCTTCGAGAGGCACCAACCTCCAATTGCTTCTGCCGCTTCTGCTTCGCCCCGTCGAACACGCTGGGTTTCGTCGCCTCGGCCACGCCAGCTTGGCCGATCTTCTCGAACTCCTCCGTGTCCGTTTCGGATTCGAAGCCGCCCCTGAAAATCCCGTCACCGGTTTGTGTAAACGTTATATTGCCTTGTGTTATCGTACCCGAGAGAAAAAGGAAGAGAGAAAGGAAGTCACTATGGGTGTCTTCCAATGAGCAAACACTGAGAGAGACACGCATAATTGAACACGGGTGCTCGGTGGGACACCTTAATACGTGCGTGTAAGAATTGGCGCGTTTGACAAAACATGAAGGCCTGTTGAGTCTATTCTTCAGCTTCGTCGCACGTGTCTTTCGTTGGAAGGCACCCTATTGTAACGATGCAGCCAACTCACCTGTCCGAGAGTAACGGTGCTCTGGTGCGTTCCTGTTCCTTCACGGGGATATTGGTGCCGACGGACGTAGCGTTCTTGTCCTTGTTACCGTCGGTGCTGCCTTCGATGAGGCTCTTGGACAAGAAGAACTGCGTGATGCCGTTCAGATCCGGCGTAGAGATCGAGCGCGCCAAATCCGGGAGCTGCGACCTCAACGATTCCATGTCGTCCGCGGTCAGCTGTTCGAACATTCAGAGAATCATTTCACAACGTTCACTTTCAAGAGCGTGCGTTGTTGAATCGTGTATGTCTCCGTGAAACAATAAGCTGTACCTTCGGTAGCCCGTTGTCGAAAACAGAAGGCGCCTGGGTCGCAAAAGGCGGCGGCGTGTCCTCGAGCCCAGGGAAAAGCGTGTTCAGGAAGTGTCCGTCGAATTTGTTCTGAAACTCGCGTCTGCGTGCCAGTTCCTCGCTGTGGACCGTCAACAGTTGGCACGCCAGGTTGCTGGCCCAGACGAGGAAAGCCTGCGAGAAAGTGCGCCGTCGGACCACTTCGGCCACCGCGCTCATGTACATCTGCGGGGCCAAGTGGATCTGTTGTAGCACCTCCAGGTGCCTCCTGAGTCGCTTCAGGCTCTCGTTGTACATGACCAGCTTGCTGTCCACTTCCATCATCTTGTTCTCGACGTACATGATCCACTTGAGGCGATGATAGATGTTCACCGAGAGCTCCTCCTTCGCTTTCGTGCATCTACGCCGGATGTCGCGCACGTGGTTGTGGTTCTGCAGCATTACAAGCAACTGCCGCCTATGAGAATTGCAGAGGTCCGGCAAAACGCTGGCGTCGCCAAGGTTGCTCGCGCGATCGCGATTCTGCACGAAACCCTGCGCCAGTTCGCTTTGCTCGTGGACAAGCCTCTTGGTCTGCACCATCAGCTGTTCCAGCGCGAACAGCCGCTCACCCAGACCCTTGATCTCCTTCATATCCTGCTTGTTGGCGTTGTCGATCGCCGCGTTCACCTCGGCCTTGAGGCTCTGCATCACCCGCTCGTCGAACTGCTCCAAGCCGCGCGAACATTGATCCGCCACTTGCTCCAGGCTGCTCTGATTGTCCTTCGCCGAGATCCATCGGAGCAGGCTCAGTACTTCTTCCGTGCCTTCGGACAACGCCGGCTCGGAGGACTCACTCGGTTGATCGTCCGGATTCAAGAAGCCCTCAGCGTGGACCCTCAAGGCCGGCAAGATCGGGATTTTCGCCAGCGTACCGAGATCAGTACTGAAGCTGTGAACATCGTTGACGTTTTCTTTCCTCTCTCGCTGATACCAATTATTCCTCGTCGTTTAATAACAGAAAAATCAAAGAAACGAGAATCCGGATTGAACCATTTTTACAAGTGTTTTTACGCGTTTCGTGAATATTGCGATAAACTTGAACGCGCGTATTAAATTACGAAGGCCCGATCATTTAGATGCTCATTAGTAGTATAACCAATGATAATTGAAGCAGTGGCGATTAAATATGGTAATCCGAGCTATAATAATGAAAGAGCGAATTCATCGGTAATTATATACCAATGTAATGGAAATAATTATTAAGGGAACCCTGTCACGCCATGCGTTCTTATGATAATGGATCGGCCTGTAATTCATTGAGAAATATTCTCGCAATAACCCGCGATATGTTCGTACTTTCCATTCTAGGTTTTATTCAGCTTTAGATTGATCGCTGTAAAATAGGTTAAAGGGGGAAAAAAAGGAAAACCGATCTTGGGTGCATCAATTAAAACGTCGTATCGTCCAATAAACAACAGTATCGATTAAGTTACCAGGATCTCGTCAATTTCTCGACGACTCACAACAAATTGCGCGAACGATACGTCGTTTTCGTCCCGATTAGAGGGGAAAAAATTCACGATAGACGACGCGGATTTTTCGTGCTACAGTTTGATTATTAGTATCTCGATAACTTCGCCGCTGCACGCTTCACGAATATTCGGCGAACACCAGAGATTCATATTTACGAACGAAAGAATTCAAGAAAAAATTCCAATCTATATTTTCGACTTACTTTTGCACAAGGAATCATTTCTTTTTATTGTGATCACGACTCTTCTATACGGCGCACAATGCGAAACAGACATGTGCATATATCGTGAAATTTCACGACGCAATCTTCTCCCCTAATATTTATTTCCGCGCATTTATATCCGAGATAAAAAAAGATCGTTACTTGTCGAGCAGTTCCATGTGTTGCTGCCTCTCGGCGAGGTAGAGGGCGAAGCTATGCTGAAATTGATCGGCTCGAGATTGGAACATTTGCGTGATGTCTTCAAGGTTCGCAACCACCGCGGCCCATCCTTGCTGCTGAAGGTGTTGATCGTGGACTAGCCTTTCGCAGATTTTCGTCTGCTCTCGCGCCAAGGCGCAACATTGTTGAGCCAAGTTGGCGCGGGAGACAAGAGTTTGATAAGCGGCCGGCATCGACAGCGAATTCTCGATCTGACTGTGAAGGTCGACATCTGCTGAACAAAAGATGAAGGTCGGCTGTTTAGTTCCTTGTTTCTTATCGATATCTATGTTTTTAAGTTGTACACGGAAACTCGATTTTATATTGTTTTGAGACCAGATGAAAAATCGATTGTAGGAACAGAAGGATTTTTGCGGGAGATTTTTATCCAATCAATTATTCTCAGTTACCTTAACCGAGGTTTTAACGCAACGGTGTTTCCGGCGTCGTGACGACAGAAATATCGTTTCTCGTAATCGAGTTTTCGTCCGGTCTCACCATTCTTCTACGCGAACCGAGATTTTATTTTCCGTGCAAGAAAGAGTAATGTAAAAGTTGAACAGTATGTTTCGTTTCGCTGAAGTTTGCGACAATTGTCGCAAAAACTGAGTGGTAATTCGTGCAACACAGAAATATAACGTTCCGTTGTTATAAGTTTTTCAATATACATCGTTCCTTTTTAAATATAATGCTTCCACCTGTGTTCTTCCTTTCTGCTCAAGATGAAAGCAGAAAAAGCCGACCGAGCCAGGGAGTTAATAGTAGACTTCATAAAAATAATAAGAGGCGCGTACATTATATAGAAAATCCGTTATTTTTCGCTTCCAAATTGCGGGTCATGTAAATTACACGTAAATTACAGGCGCGATATCCGCGAGAGAGGAGTAAGGAACAATATATTTCCCCTCGACGCGCGGAATGCGGATCGGAGAAAGTTACGTTTATCCAATGCGTAACCTCGATTTTAACTTTAGTAACGAGTTCTCCTCTATTTTTTTTTCTACTTCCTTGAGAGGCGCAGCTCTACGCGCGGACGGGAATTGACGCGCGCGCGCGCGATCGCTGCCTTTTACGGCTGTCAGCTGGCCCGAAGCGCGTGCAACTTCGCGGATGTAAACCCGTGGAAACGGGAGGCTGCGCTTCACCACCTCGGTTCATAAAACGAACTGAGACGCGAACGGCGATCGTAAGGTGCGTGGACGACCGCGAGATTGGAGTTGTAACTCACGCGACTCGCCGCGCTTCGTCGTGTAACGACGATCCTCGTAGGCAACTATCGGGGAAACTATTGTCTCTCAACGCAGATAGTGGTGACGTGTCGAAACGCACCGAGTTAACGAGTCTGGTTGTCGCCGGTTGTTGCAATTACCGGACACACGGGTCGAATCGAGCAACCGAGCAGCAGGTGTATAATTGATCGACGAAGCTAGAGCCAGAGAGCATAATCTTGGCACGCGATGAAAATTCAAGGACGACGCGACACACATCGCATCGCGACGACGACCTTACGTCACACTCTACATCCAAGAAGCGAATTGCGCGTCAGCTTCGTCCGAGACTAGATAATTAATTTGTGTGTGCGTGCACGCGTGCGACGCACGCGCGTACAGGAAGTCGCCGGGAGGGAGAATTAAAACGTGTTATCAGTGTCTGGACGATATCTTTATACATTCTATACAAATGCGCGAAAACGTATGTATAAGCTCCGACAGTCGTAGATAATGCATGCGTGATCGATCGGGGTCGATCTTATAGATGATCGCGTCCGAGTGTCCCCACTGATTTGCAAGTCCACAAAAAAAATTATCGTTATGATGCACAGCTGAGCAATCAACAATAATTACGGCGACGACGCAATACGCCGTTAAGCTTGACAATCGAATGATCGTGAACGGAAAAAGTCGTTGAAAAGAAGATAATAAGATTCCAGATGTGATTATTGCGTCGTTTATCTGCGTGACATCTTGCAATCCGCGACGCGTTTTACTTTGTAGATCGATATATGCGCGCAATATACACGGGTCAATAAACGGGAAACCTCTGGAAATCGAATCTGAAAGTCACGATCTGTGCGATAACCCTCTCTGACAGTTATCCCTGACACCGTTTTTGTTTTTTTGTCTTTTTTTGCCGCGAAATTTACGACTTTTTAAGGCGATTAGAAAAGAAACACTTAATACTTTTTATCCTCGCATAGTAAAACTTTTTTTGTTAAGATAAGAATATGCATCGTCAAAGCGTTCTCGATAGAAGTGATGCAAACTAAGTAAAATCCTAAGTAAAGTCGTAAGGGGACTTTCCTGAGATCAAAGGATCTTTTAACCGTGCACGGTAAAAAATGGGTTAAAAACGGTCCACTGAGATTTTGTGTTATTTTAATATTGGAAAATGTGTTAAAAACTACAAAAATATAATGTTAAATTAACATATTTACTTTGTCATATTAAATGTAGTTAATTAATTAAGAAGAGTGTGTTAAATTACATTAACATTATATTTGTGTAATCTTTAATACATATTCGTATACATTTTAACACATTCCCCATATCAAAATAATATAAAATCTTTCACTGTGTATAGTTTAAAGATCTTTTGACCTCGGGAAAGTTTCCTTAAGACTTTACTCGGTCGGTTTGCATCATTTCTATCGAGGACGCTCCGACGGCGAATATTCGTTTTTCTTTGAAGTATACAACGTGTATAAATACTAAATGTTTATATGTTATATTTTGATTCTGCCCTTCGCTAAGTGTGATACGTTTAACAGAGGCATATAAAGTATATTCGTTTTTCTACCTAGCAAGCACAGCATTTGTCGTGAAACTTTTTATCTCAATATTTCGTCTCGTTCGACGTACAAATCTTAAATCGATAAGCAAAGGAAAAGTTCGACGCAAGTTTCTCAGAATCGAATGCCTCGTATGCACAAAAACATATTTTTCCTTACTGCAATCTACCGAGTATACGATCGCGAATAAAGTACGTAGCGGTGCCTCACCGAGGCGTTCCTTCAACTTTCACAGAGCAGATAATCGACCCGCGAGAGATTACCCGCGACAATAAGCATCATTGTGAAAAAAGCGCAGAGAAACGATATCGGGTTTGGAGTAAATCAACGCCGGTTGTTGAACCGGCGATCTTGATCGTTTCACGTACGGAAGATTTTACTCCACTCGGCGCACTGCTTCTATTCTCACCTGCTGTGAAAATCGTTAAGAAAATGAGGATCCGTTCAATCTGAAACGTCGGCAAAGATGTGACACAAAGATTGGACGATTTGCAAGTTTGCGTATTCACGCTGCAAATCCACCTGTTTCGCCAATCGTATTTTTTATAGAACGCGTTTCGAGATGCATATAATCAACTTTTCGTATAAAATCCCGTCTATATACCTCACAGAAGACGCAGGTCGCAAATGCAGACGAAGATGACATATTAAGCTCACGCAAGGAGCCCCACCGATCCTCCGAGGGTCAACGACAGAGAGAGAGAGAGAGAGAGAAACGAAACTGAAAATCTGCCGAGACGCGGAATAACGTGTCGCACACTTAATACCGGCTGTACCTCCCGTACTCCCCGTAATCTCTTGGGAGAGTATCGAACACGTATACACTACATACCAACGTAGAGCCAACGGAGTCGATGCACCGGCGAGAGCAAGCATCGGAAATTGCCAAAGCTAAGTCGCGACCTTACCGTTCGCACGTTAATTGCACGCGCGACCGGAGCGCGGCGGCGCGGATACGCCGAAAAAAGAAAAATCAAGCGCGATGACTCGTGACGAGAGGCGGTAAACGCCAGTAGAAATGAAGCGGAGAAATCGCGTCGAAAAAACAGCGCGCGTTAGATAAACCGGCCGTCGCCGAGGTCCGATTTCGATACGCGGAGTCGTTCGGACACGTGTCTCCCCCGATGCGCCTTACGTTCGGTAGATATTTTCCACGCGTTTCAACATCGTGAAATAGGTGAAAGCCGTATCGTTATCAGGTATTCCAGCATGTCAACCAGCATATCTCTAACGTTAGCCTTATTCGTTTGGCGGGGAGTATCGGCGAGTGTTCGAAGAAGCATCGACACGTTCGCTGATACTCTCGGAATTTTACGATAGAGTATTCGGGACGAGGCTAGATAAACGACCGGCCGGGCGGCATAGAGCAAAGCGCGTGTAATGCCCCTTCGAGGAAACGAAATATGCATTAATGTTGCTCCACTTTCTCACCAGAGGCGATCTGTTTCCCTCACGTACCGCGAAAAGTTTCACGGAACGAACTAGGGATGGGCGATACGGTAGAAAATACCGATATTTCGTATCGATTCGTGTCGCAAATAAAAATATATTGATTCGCTAGAAATATCAGACGGGATGTATCGTTGATATTTCTATCATCAGCTACATTCGAATTAAATACAGAAAGTTCCTTAATAACCAGCCATATATCAGGAGTTTCGAGATTCCGCGAATGCTTCTTTGTTTTTGTTCAGGTAAAAAAAGTTCACACAAACACGTGTCCTAAACACGTGTTCTAAACATGTATCTTAATCCGCAGTCCAACGCTGGTTTTACGGACCGTACCGGAAGTTCGATATTCCTGTTCGGATATCGAGGTACATGCTAATATCGCAAGATAAAATATCTACGCAAAACATCGATATCAAAGCCCCAGAAATGTCGATATTTGAAATATCGATACTGCATAACCCATCCCCGGTACGAATTGTGACACGATTGTGTGACAGAGACGCGGCTCTCCTCGAGAGCAATTTCCTCTGCGAGAGGAATTTTTTACCCTTCCCTCTTCTTCTCTTCCCGTCTCTCTCTCTCTCTCTCTCTCTCTCTTTGTTTTGCACTGAATCCCCCGTTTCGTCACGACACCTTTCGCGAGATCTCGGCTCCGCCGTCGGATTCTTTAACGAAGCGGATCCGATGGGGCTCTCGCGCATTATAGGAGAACCTACCGCGCGCGCATTCGCGGAATCTCGAAAGAGCAGCCATTAAAGTACGAAACAAAGCCATCGGCGAGGCTCGGCCTCGTTCACACGATAATTGCAGGCTACTCGGCTCTGGCCGAGCGATACATAGAAAATCGCATGGCTGCACCGTTCGCACTCGCGCCGCCCGTTCCCGAGAATAAAACAAGCCCGAGACTACGAAGAGACTACCACCCTGAGACTGGGCGCACAGTTAAGAACCGTAAGAAAGTCCATTCTGATCTTCTTCGATCCCGTCCGAACGAT